GGTGGTGTTTGACCTTTGCTGGCGTGGTGGTGGTGGTGTTTGACCTTTGCTGGCGAATTATATATGTAGTTGTTCGCCAATTTGATTACTTAAATATCTACAGGACGTGTTTTTGAATGGATTCTCATTGGTATATTTCTAAGCTATCAATATTGTTATGATAATTTTTATTAACGTACACTGCCAAGGATAGTCGATAACTTAGGTCTAACAAAGGCGATTTAAAAAAAATACATTTGCTAGGTGGGAAACTGTCTTTATTATTATTAAATAGGACCTATATCTGCAACAAACCGACCGTGTAAAAAGAAAACAAGAAGAAAGTTTACGAAAGCCAAGCTACGTCATAAAACCCGGAATGACTCAAATGGAAATCGAACTGTGCCTGGATACGGACATGATTCTTTGGATTAAAGATCCTATGCAGCAGGGAAACCAAACATGGGAAAAAAAAAAGAATCAGATACGTCCGGGTGAAAAGTAAAGATACGGCAGGCCAAAGCCCTACGTGAGCTGTAACGCCACAGGTATACTATCCATAGATAGGTATAATTGTAAAGCGCTTAGAGCTGTAAGGTAAGCGCTATAAGAAATGCCTACATAAATAAATATACATATATATATATATATATATATATATATATATATATATATATATATATATATATATATATATATAAATATATATATATTATGTGTGTATATATATATATATATATAAATATAAATATATATATATATATATATATATATATATATATATATATATATATATATACATATTTATAAATATAAATACATATATATCATGCCTGTGGAGCTATATATATAAATAACAAAAACTCTTGGTATAAAGTCACTTTTTTTAAAGGACTTCCTGGAACAGGGGTTATTTCTTATAAAAAACAATGCTAAGAAAATTTTGGCCTGGGGAATTTAAAATCTGAAGAGTGAACAAAAGACACACTTGAACTGCCGAAGAAAAAGTATCAAAATTGTAAAAAAGTGGAGCAATGCCCTAATTTGATAAGTCATGGAGATTTAAGTCAGCCAATAATACTGGATAAACGTGTACCCGGTGTGTTGAGCCCACCTGTAAGGCGATCCCATCGAGTAACGGGATCGAATGAATATCCTATCGACAAACGGAACACCATTGGACAAGAGGATCTCACCGGGAAACGGAATCCCACAGAGAAAGGGATCCTTACGGTATCGAGATCCCATCGGTACATCATCCTACTAACCGCCATTCCCATCACCTTCACAACAAAAAGAAATTGTATTCTGTTTATTTGATGGCCTGACCCAAGACCGTAAACCCCCCCCCCCCCCCCCCCC